TACGAAATGTGTTCCAGCTTTTACTATCCCTTCTTCCTCATATTTTTTACCTACCATGAATCCCGTGGTATTTTGAAGAAATATGAGTGGCACGTTCCTTTATTACAACAGCAAAAGATAGATTGAATTAAATTTCTACATAGGATAATGTGAGAAAAGGGGAAATTTCTTACATCATATTGCACATTCGAATAAATTGGGTCGCTTTATTACTTTCCGGAATGAATAAAACATTATTGGAGGCTATTATACCCACCTTGAAACCTGTGAATGTGAATATTAATAATATATCATGAATTATAACGCTTAAAAATACATTTTATATTAAATAAATATTCACAATAAATCATGAATTATAACGCTTAAAAATACATTTTATATTAAATAATATACCATGAATAGTAGCCCAACCAGTGATTATATTTGGTCCATAAAGAGGTTTAAATGCCGTAAACCTTGATCCATCCACTATACGATTGATCACTTCGTTAGCATCAAAGGGCTCCCTAATATTTGCAGACACGATTCCAAGAAGTTCATCTATCATCATGATAATGATAATAGTAATAATTGTAAAAAAGGATCATTGTAAAATAAGTATATATATATATATAAGTAACTCTCGATATAAGAAAGGTGGACTGGTTCATAATATGAATCTTGCAAAACTTATTTATTACAGGCTGGTTTGGCTTAACTTCTTATATTGAGCTATTCTATTAATATTTGGGATAAATCAAAAATAACATACCAATATCATACAAAGGTTCATCTATTTTTGGAGCAAGGTGACCTTGAGGAATTTTTCCTCTTTTTTCCCAATTAAGTCTAGAAATAAATTCGCGAGCTTTATATATAGCATCGTATTCATCCAATGCAAGCTGATCAGAAACACCAGACTTTCTACTGTGCATATCAGCACCACCAAGGCTTTCAGCATCGACAATTTCACCGGTAGCCATTTGAACAAGTGGTGGACCACCAAGGAACACTTGAGCTTGATTTTTCACCATAATGACATAATCAGTTAAACTAGGTGAATATGCACCACCAGCTGTTGAACTACCAAATACTATACTACAAGTAGGAAGGCCGGCTTTTGTTCGCTCGGCCAAACTTCGAAAATGAGCACCACCTGGATGAAAAACTTTAGACTGTTGTTCTAATTTAGCGCCTCCAGTTTGAATTAATTGAATTAAAGGTAATCTATTTTGCCAAGCTATAGCATTAATTCTAGCACCTTTAGCGACACTAACTTCGTTAGATGAACCTCCAAATAATGTTGGGACATTACCACTTATTAAACATTCTACGCCACAGACGAGGCCAATACCCGCAACACTTGAACCACCTAATGTCATACCATCTCGACCCCATCCTGCTAAAGGACATAATTCTAAAAATGGAGAATCTTCATCTAATAAAAGGTCAATTCTATCACGAACTAATAATTGACCACGTTTAAGATGTTGTTCGATTGCTTTATTAGGACCTTGTTTAACTGCCAAATTTAAACGTTCATTTAAAGTTTCTACCAAGCTAAACATTTCATTGTAATTTTTATGGTATTTATCATCTTTTTTAATTTTAGTTTTGAGAACGGAAATTTCATCATACGCATTCATTGTAAAACTGTGTATCATCATTGAAATAACCAATAGATAAATATTATTTTCATTGATCAAATTTGCATAGATCGGTAGTACTACAAACACATTGTCTGGTTAAAATAGTAAAGTAATTATAGATGTCAAAAACCGTGTTCAGCTCAGCACTTGCGCACTATATGAATTTTCGATAATGATATTGTATTGAAACATATAAGTTAGTTTATACATGTATTTTCTCTTAGTAATTATATAGAAGTTTATTCGAATAAGGAATGCTGTCTACAATATAAAACTGGTTCTTAATAATCAATGACATAATTATGTAATTACACCTGCACTCTAAATTTAACGACCAGTATGAGTCAAGTTGTTGGCTGATCAGTGAGAATTTTTGATTGGCTAAAAAATCTCAATACTAGAAAGTCGGTTATAACCCAATGAAACTCTTCTGCGCACTAATAAAAAAGTTTCCTTGAGAACTTTTAATATTATTAAAGCTTTTTCTAATCTAATATAGTAGCGAAACTTAGCCTTAATCTAACAGAAATTTTTTAGAGAAATTTTTTTGAGCTGGTTACACTAGGATACACAAAAAAAGAATCCACGTGACTTATTGAATTTAATGTTACCGTTACTGATAAACGAATTTCGTTATCGTTATCCTCCTTTTCATTTTATACCATATTCGGTGACATCACACCGACCTTCTACGTATTACTATTTTCATAATCATGAAGTCTCGGGAAACTTTATTCACAGATTCAACTTTTAAGCTTACTGTACCTAACGGTATAGTAAACTGTACCGAAGAAGAATTTGAAAACATTTTTACCTCGACGGAAAGAACACAAGCATTTTATGGTATACAATTTTTATTCAATTGTATTAATTGTATTCTGCTTCGGATTTAAAGGTGACTATCTAACGTATGTCAATTTATAAAAAAGACGAACTCCTCTACTTTTATCTTCATATCTGTCTTCCCAATGATTCTAGCATTACTGATAAAGAAGCAGCAACATTGTTTTTCCAACAACTTGAAATATTCGTTGAAGCATTAATCATCGATGCAAATGCATCTTCTGCTTCGAATCCACTTCCCGCTCCTCCGCCAGTATATCGTTTACCTCCGGGTAAATCTCGTGAAACTTCTACAGCGACTTCGCCCTCGATACCAGGTACTCCTTTACCACCACTTATGGACAAGAGACCATCTAAACCACCAGATGGTACAATAATATATTCTTATTTATATAACCAAAAATCGAAGGATCGTCAGATGTTGGTCTTTGAAAGGAATGGGTCATGGTCATGTTTGGTACCATTGGTAGTCCCCGTAGGTAAGTCTTGAAATTTTGTTTTTAATTTTGGTTATCATTTAATTATTTTAAATTTGAGTATCCTATAACAAGTTTTGTTGAAAAAAAAAAAAAAGAGTTCAACCATTTATTATTTTATATATAATTAGCTTATGTAAAAACCCGTGCTCAGACTCCGGCATTAGCACTTAATGCAACTATTACGCAAGTTCCTCTATCGGAAGAATTAAAAGATGCTGGAAAGATATTTGATCTTGAAGCGTCT